TCCCACTATTCGGCCAGAAAGTAGTAGCTTAAGAGCTGGCGAGGGGTACTGTTGAGCCTTCCCTATAGTCTATCAGTTAAAAATTAGGAACGGCCAAGCACTGGTAGCTGTTGTTTAGGTTTTTTGGTACAATTCTGAAACTAACTAACTAACTAACTCTTCATGGTCAAATAAGATGGCGAACTATTTATAGTTTTAATTGGCAGGTTGATTTTTTGGATGCATTTTTAAATGTAAATAGTATTTTCTTTAATATGGTATAACCTAGATAAGGTTGTTGACATTTTCTTTAATATGGTATAATCTAGATAAGGTTGTTGACATTTTCTTTAATATGGTATAACCTAGAGGAGGTTGTTGACATTTTCTTTAATATGGCATAACCTAGATAAGGTTGTTGACATTTTCTTTAATATGGCATAACCTAGATAAGGTTGTTGACATTTTCTTTAATATGGCATAACCTAGATAAGGTTGTTGACAGTTTCTTTAATATGGCATAACCTAGATAAGGTTGTTGGCATTTCTACAGTTTTGTCATAATTTTTTCTGTCAAAAAACAAGGAATTATATTCACTAAACAGACTTCAATAATCCAGAAGAAATCGTAATTTGTAAACTCGACACCGCGAAAAATTCGGCCCTGATATGGCCGTGCCTTTTTTTTTATTACTGATTTGACAATTGACTACTTTTTCGCTTTCTATTGAAGTTAATATACATCGTAAGTACAGTGCATGAGGGTAATGGATCATAAAGACGACAAATATGACACGTTCCTTTCTTTCGTTTTTTGTGTTCATCACATAATCTGACAGTTACTGTTGTTTCCATGCTTCCTGGTATCCGATTGAAAATCTGAAAGTTGTGTTAAAATCAGCTCAACTAATGTAGCTAAACTGTTGTTTAATAATAATAATTACTATGTTGTGTTGAAATCAGCTCTACCAATGTAGCTAAACTGTTGGCTAATAATTACTATGTTGTGTTGAAATCAGCTCAACTAATGTAGCTAAACTGTTGTTTAATAATAATAATTACTATGTTGTGTTGAAATCAGCTCTACCAATGTAGCTAAACTGTTGGCTAATAATTACTATGTTGTGTTGAAATCAGCTCAACTAATGTAGCTAAACTGTTGTTTAATAATAATAATTACTATGTTGTGTTGAAATCAGCTCTACCAATGTAGCTAAACTGTTGGCTAATAATTACTATGTTGTGTTGAAATCAGCTCAACTAATGTAGCTAAACTGTTGTTTAATAATAATTACTATGTTGTGTTGAAATCAGCTCTACCAATGTAGCTAAACTGTTGGCTAATAATTACTATGTTGTGTTGAAATCAGCTCAACTAATGTAGCTAAACTGTTTGATAATAATTACTATGTTGTGTTGAAATCAGCTCAACTAATGCAGATAAACTGTTTGATAATAATTACTATGTTGTGTTGAAATCAGCTCAACTAATGCAGGTAAACTGTTTGATAATAATTACTATGTTGTGTTGAAATCAGCTCAACTAATGCAGATAAACTGTTTGATAATAATTACTATGTTGTGTTGAAATCAGCTCAACTAATACAGATAAACTGTTTGATAATAATTACTATTGCGCTTTATACGCTTTTCGATTATATGTTCCATAATTTGTTTTCGGCCAATTTTTTAGTAAAATATCCCACTTTTTCGCGGTCGCGGGTCTTAATAAAGAAAAATACCATACAAGCTGATTATTGAAAAAGTTAAAATATTGGGTTAATGATGGCGCTCCCAAAGCAGGTCTGCACCAGAGAAGCGAGATGATAAGAGAAAGATTAAACGTTCTTCAAAACCTTTATTAAAATATATTGTTGAAGAACCTTAATTAAAATATATTGTTGAAGAACCTTTATTAAAATATATTGTTGAAGAACCTTTATTAAAATATATTGTTCAAGAAAACACCGAAAAATGTGAATTGTTTTATTCTGTAACATGTACAGAATGGACATAAAATTATTCGGTTCTTATAAGTTTAACGTGTTAACCAAATAAACAGATATATGACAAAAAAAACCTCATCAAGAGAAGTCAAGTTATATCTACGATATCATACTTGCCAGTTTTATAGCAACAGTCTGTGAATCGGTATCGATAATCGATAAGCTTTAGTCGACGTTAAAAGTCTTGTTAGAACACTTACTGCTGTGGGTTTAAAGACTATAATGGTGGCGCATGGCTGTTGTTAATGTTCTAGCTCTCACATCAGACGTTTCTAGAGAAACCGTAGATACAAAAGAACTCATTCTATATTTTTGTTGCCCCCCAGTGGCACAGCGGTATGTCTGCGGACTTACAACGCTAGAATCCGGGTTTCAATATCCGTGGTGAGCAGAGCACAGTTAGCCCATTGTGTAGCTTTGTGCTTAATTACAAACAAACAAACTATATTTTTGTTAATGAAAAAGTATTTAGACAAAGGGTTCCAGGGTGGTTTAAAAGCAGGGATTATACAATTCGTGTTAAGCTACAAGAAAAAATAACATTTTCTAAAAGCAATTATCAGAAAGCAGAACGCAATTGACCACAGGATTCATTTGATGGATTTCGACATTTCCATTCAAACAAAATGGGTAATCATCTCATGTTGTTGAAGTATTGTAAGTTATTTCCTTGACTAGAAAATAAATAGGCTGTTTTTAACATAGGAATTAAAACTTTTAAACCTGAATATAATCTTATGTGACGCGTAGGTTAGATAAGAGGTCCTAATGGTTCAGGTTTTTTTGAACTCAATAATGTAACCGACTCTTTGATAGGGCACCCGCAACTGTTTGTTTTGAATTTCGCGCAAAGCTACACGAGGGCTATCTGTGCTAGCCGTCCCCTAATTTAGCAGTGTAAGACTAGAGGGAAGGCAGCTAGTCATCACCATCCAACGCCAACTCTTGGGCTACTCTTTTACCAACGAATAGTGGGATTGACCGTTACGTTATAACGCTCCCACGGCTGAAAGGGTGAGAATGTTTGTGGGGGGGGGGGGATCACCCGCAACTGAAAGTGTGAAGCATGTTTGGTGGCGTCTTGGATCGAGCCTTGGACCCACAGCCTGGCACATTAACCTTTAGAACATGGAGTTTTCTAAATATAGAATTGATTTCGTATATGAAGCTATAGACTATGATGTACATCAGTAATGATTACAAGTGTAACTTATAGCTATGATAATGAATAATTCGTAATAAAACTATATATACTGATGAAACAACGCAGTAGTCATTGAACTATTTAAAGTAACTATGTCGCTTACTTATATTCATTATTTACCACGTGGGAACATGTCAGTAGCGTTCTGAATTTCTGAACTAGAGGATCTGATTCCAATCCAGTCCCGCAATTTAAGCCGTGAGTGCATTATAAGAGTGACAGTCAATCTCCTAGCATGTATGGTGAGTGGTAGAGGGCCGCGAACTTGCTGCTTTTCTCGGAAGCATATAGGTAGAGCTCTGGATTTCAGAACTAGAGGATCTGATTCCAATCCAGACCCGCAATTTTAAGCCGTGGGTGCGTTATAAGAGTAACTGTAAATTCCCTAGCATGTATGGTGGGTGATAGAGTCCTGCGGACTTGCTGCCTTTCCTCTGGTTGGTAGTTTAAAATTAGAGACGGCGGAAGATATCCTTAGTAGCTTTGCCACAACCTACAATACTCAAATAGAAATACAAACATATCAGTACAATGTGTATTATGTGACCTGTCTTGAACCAGTCAAGCTACTCAAATTAAAGCTTTATGAATGGCTATTTGGAACAAAGTAATGCAAATGTCTACAATACTCGGCTTTGACGATCGCCAATGTTCGAATGTATCAGAACTCGTTTGAATTAACCTTGTAAAACATATCTTGTTTGAAATTTAAATAAATGTTTGCTTAAAATCACACTGAACGAGAAAAAAAATTGGTAATAATTTATTGATACGTTTAAAACAAAGAGATAGATTATATGAGTAATTCTTCACAATATTTTAAATAAATTATTTTAATTCATCCTTTACAGCTAGAGAATCACGTAGAACAGGAGAGTAATTCTTCACAATATTTTAAATAAATTATTTTAATTCAACCATTACAGCTAGAGAATCACGTAGAACAGGAGAGTAATTCTTCACAATATTTTAAATAAATTATTTTAATTCATCCATTACAGCTAGAGAATCACGTAGAACAGGAAACATGTAGTCTGAGTATTATGTTCACTTTACTAGATAAATATACTGGTTTGTACGTTTAATTAAACAACTATAGTGTACGTTTTGATAGCACCGATTTCTTGATCACACTTGTGGTTGCCTAAGTATCGAGCGAAGGCTACTGTGAAACGGAGCCCTGCATGGCCACGTGGTTAGGGCGTTCAATTCGCAATCTGCGTGTCGCGGGATCGAATCCCCGTCCCACCAAACATGCTTGCCCTTTCAGCCGTGAGGACGTTATAATGTGACGGTCAATCCCACTATTCGTTGGTAAAAGAGTAGCCCAAGAGTTGGCGGTGGTTGGTGATGACTAGCCGCCTTCCCTCTAGTCTTACGTTGCTAAATTAGGGACGGCTAGCGCAGATAGCTCTCGTGTAGCTTTGCGCGAAATCCATAACAGACAAACAAAACAAATACTGTGAAACGGAGTTAAGTCTATTTCGCTGTATATATATATAATTTATCTTTCACGTTATCTTCCTTGAGAAAACGGTTTTCTTACTTATTCATACAAGTTATAAATCTTTATTACAAAATAAATGTCTAGGCTTAGAACGAATTCTGTGCACAAGCACGATTTTTATGAGCAACCACCTGATATAAATATATATACCTAATTTTAATGACATCTGAGTTAATTCTATAGTGTTACGGAGTTAAGGTTAGTGATCAGATCATATATTAATGAATGCTATGTGTTTATTGTGTCACCTCAGGGAATTAGACGATAACTCATTCTGACAGATTTTTTTGTATTTCTTTGCTAGTCATCGTAATGTGTGCCTCTCCATCCTCGATTCGTCAGATCTTGTTGGCTGCTGAAGAACTGGGAATGCAAGAGACTGGGGAGTTCGTCTTCTTCAACGTTGAGCTCTTCACAAGGTATAACCAGTCCATGTTGTTTCTGACAGGTCGAGCCAACTACTAAAAAATAATCGGACAACTTGATGAAACTGCTTGAAGTTATATGCCAATAAAGCTACAAATATGCGTGTTTGTGTGTGATTGTGAAAATATAAATATAAAGAAATCACACACATATATATAATGTAAAATGGTGGAATATAAAAACGTCTCCTTACGTTCGATAGATTATTTATTTAAAACAACTTCATCTCAATAGGCTACAAACGATAGAGTGTAAATGGTTTAATGTATCCTATTAGGATATGTATTTGTTGAGATAGGACTCGCATCCTGATGGGGGTCTACCGTCCATTAGATTAGAATCAGATGCATCCTGATGGGGGTCTACCGTCCATTAGATTAGGATCAGATGCATCCTGATGGGGGTCTACCGTCCATTAGATTAGGATCAGATGCATCCTGATGGGGGTCTACCGTCCATTAGATTAGGATCAGATGCATCATGATGGGGGTCTACCGTCCATTAGATTAAGATCAGATACAATGTTATTGTGGTAGTTACCTCAATCTTCGTCGGATAGTCTGGTTTCAATTTCGCGCAAAACTACACGAGGGCTATCTGTGCTAACCGTCCCTAATTAGACAATGAAAGACTAGAGGGAAGACAGCTAGTCATCACCACCCAACTCTTGGGCTACTCTTTTTACCAACGAATAGTGGGATTGACCGTCACGTTATGACGCTCGCCCGGCTGAAAGGGCGAGCATGTTTGGTGTGACGGGGAGTCGAATCCGAAACCCTCAGATTGCGAGTCGAGCAGCCTAACCACCTGGCCATGCCGTGCCTATCTTCGTTGGAAGATATTGGATGTTCTACCGCTTCAGGATAATATTTTGTTGATATCGTTTTTATGCGTCTAAAAAACTTGTTTTATTACACACGATCTATTTCAACGAACCTCTCAAATGGCACGTTTGAAATAATTTTGGGTGATATTCTGTCTTACAATAGATATAAACAGATTTTGGGTGATATTTAGAATCTGGAATGTTGGCCAAT